CCCTCCCCCTCCCCTCCCCTTCCCCTCCCCTTCCCTTCCCTTCCCCTTCCTTTCCCCTTCTCCTCCCTTCCCTTCTTTTCTTTTTTCTTTTTTTTCTTTCTTTTTTTTAAGATAGGGTTTATAACAAAGTCCTAAAAAGTCTGAAAAAAAAAAAAAAAAGGACCAAGAAGAGAGATAAAGCAAGGAGTATAGATTCAAATGCCTGCAGAAACCTGGCCAGAAATACAGCCAGGCAATGGCAGCAAGGGTGATGCAATAAGGAGCAGGGGGGCTGTGGCAAAGGGAGGCATGCCCAGGCCAAGGGCAGGCAGGTATTACTCAGCTCTAGCCCCGATTTCCGTGTGGGAGTTGCTGGGTCAGTGGTGCCAGATTTTTCTATGTTTCTGAAGAAGGTGGGAATCTAGATTGAAACAAAAATTTTTAATGTTTATTTATTTTTGAGAGAGAGAGAGACAGAGACTGAGACAGACAGAGAGACAGAGCATGAGCAGAAGAGGGTCAGAGAGAGAGGGAGACACAGAATCTGAAGCAGGCTCCAGGCTCTGAGCTGTCTGCACAGAGCCCGACATGGGATTTAAACCTACAAACCGTAACATCATGACCTGAGCCAAAGTCAGATGCTTAACCGACTAAGCCATCCAGGTGCCCCGGGAATCTAGATTTTTGCATGAAATTTCAGTCTTATCAAAAGCACTTGCTAACACCATCTAGCCCAGATGGAGGCCAGATCTGGCTTCAGGGCTGCCTGCGTGATTCCTGAAATGAAGCCCAGACAGTGTTCAGGCGACTCGCACATGAACTGAACTGAGGGCCTGCCAAGGTCATCTCGGGCAACCCTGGCCTCCTCTCATAGGCCCCCCACCCAGTCTTCACCGCTGCTGCCCAACCCCCCACCAGGGTAAAAGCCTCTCTTTGGCCCCACGTGTGCCCCCGCCCCCCCACAGTCAGGCCTGAAATCTGCAGGGGGCCCTAATGGTGGGGTTGCTGGCACACCAAAGGGAAGGGAGAAGATGGGAAGCAGGCCCTGAGTCTGTAATGTCTTTAGAGCAGGTTGTGTCTTCCTTCCCTGGTTTTTCACAGTCTTTAGGACAGTTCTGGGCACAGGGCCCACGTCTTCTGCATATGTCTGGTGACCTGTCACCACTCACACCTCTTGTCTCAGCTATTGAAATACCATCTGCTGTGCATGAAGGTTCATGTCCCTCAAAATTCCTATTGAGGATGAAGCCCTATTTGGAGGGGGGGCTTATGGGAAGTAACCAGGGTCAGACAAGGTCATGAGGGCCCCTTGTATACGGTCATAGATTGGGGTCCACATAAGATATACCAGCCGCTAGCCCTGCGCGTGCACCCACCGTCCCTGACCATCCCTGTACATACACCCACCATCCCTGCACATACACCCACCATCCCTGTACGGACACCCACCGTCCTTGTGCGTGCACCCACCGTCCCTGACCGTCCCTGTGCGTACACCCACTGTCCTTGAGCTACGCCCACCGTCCTTGTACGTACACCCACCGTCCCTGACCGTGCACCCACCATCCCTGCACGTACACCCACCGTCCCTGCACGTACACCCACCGTCCCTGACCGTGCACCCACCATCCCTGCACGTACACCCACCGTCCCTGTACGTACACCCACCGTCCCTGTATGTACACCCACCGTCCCTGTACGTGTACCCACCGTCCCTGTGCATACACCCACCGTCCCTGTGCATACACCCACCGTCCCTGTGCTACACCCACCGTCCCTGCACGTACACCCACCGTCCCTGTACGTGTACCCACCGTCCCTGCGCATACACCCACCGTCCCTGCACATACACCCACCGTCCCTGCACGTACACCCACCGTCCCTGCACGTACACCCACCGTCCCTGACCGTGCACCCACCATCCCTGCACGTACACCCACCGTCCCTGTACGTACACCCACCGTCCCTGTATGTACACCCACCGTCCCTGTACGTGTACCCACCGTCCCTGTGCATACACCCACCGTCCCTGTGC